AAAGCTACATTTCATTTTTAGCATGCATAAATAAATAAATAAATAAATAAATAGTGGAGCTCAGCAGGTCCAACCACTGCTCGCTGCCCCTTTCTTGCTTTCACCGGTACCAAACTGCCTATGGTGCAGTACCATTCCACAGTCCAGTGGTTGCGAACCTCTGCTCTAAAGCACAAACAGCTAAAATCAGGTTTACTTGTCCTTCACTCCATAAGCACCACCGTCCTTCGAGTTTGTCAAATGGTCCATTTGCTGTGACGCATGTCCGACACACATGTGCTCCAGCCTAGCCAAGGTCAAAATGAGCCTTTTACCTGCATGGCTGGCTCCCAATAATGGATTGAGGAAACCGCCAGGGTAATCAGAAACTGACGCAAGCTAAACGACATGGACCACCAAACAGCTTCCCAGTACACAACGATCCACACAGCATGGGGCATAGCAGAGTCCCTCTCCTTCACAATGCTAAGCCACCTACAGGATTACAAGATGTGAGGCACTGGATTGCGAGCCAATCAGCTGCTCCTTGGCAGGAACGCACAAACAGAGACCCTGCATCTCTCACAGGGTGATCTGTACTGAGCTCAAAAGCACTCCTACTGCAGTGAGACATACTGACTTACTGACTGATTAGACAGGGGGGATAAAATAAGGCAGACAGAACCGATCCACAGCCTGACCCCACTATTTCTGTCTGTCCACTGTCTGACATTCCCTCCACCCCCCACTCACTCACTTACAGGCCTCCCTCCTACTTCAATCAATCAGTCAGTCTCCACCTTCCTCTATTTTTAACTGCCCAAAACTACTACTTACATTTCAGTGTGGGCTGTTATTATTGACTCTAGGCTGAACTAAATGAGGTTAAAGGGGAATTCCACTGATTTTTCAAAAATTTTGTATAGCTGAGATACAGATAGATAGATAGATAGATAGATAGATAGATAGATAGATACATAGATAGATAGATCACTTTATTATTCCCAGAGGGAAAGTCGTCTATTACAGCAGCACAAAGTACAGTAAAAAGCAAAACAAGAGCAAAAGTATTGTCGTACGCTATTATACAGATGCATGAATAGAAGAAGTAAACATATATAATAAAATATACTAAAAGAACCATAAAATATAATGCGCAGTATAAAAATGAGCAAATAAAATTGCATAAATATTGCAGGTGACAACGCGGTGGTGCATGTCACGCCCAGTGAATGAACTGAGTGACTAAACACTAAACGATAACATATGGTAATAGTTGCGATATGTCTGGGTGTATAACAAGTGGCAGTGCAACATGCAACATTTATGGATGCACAAACAAAGCTTTTTTTTTTAAATGTAAAATGGTTCACTGGTTCACTTTACAGGGCTGGTGACAGAAACCAGGGTGATGTCTACAATGTAAACAGCATTTTGTTTACTAACCACAATGAACCTACAATTGTGAGTTTTTATATGTAATTTTGTTTACAATGGAAAATATACTAAATCTTAGGACGCCCTGTGTGACTGCATCAACTCTCTGCAACAAGTGGATATTAGAAGATATATCTGTGGGCCTAAACCTTCTCAAAACTATCACAATACAATGTTTCAGGCATCTCGCTGCATATTGTGTAACACATTTTGTGTAATAACTGTATTTTTGAAGTAACTTTTATACGACTGGTTCCCATCACCACCACTGTGAACGATTCCGACTCAGTAAGTTTCACACCAACCCACTCTGATTGACTTAGTTCACAACGTAACCAATTAACGATGCAGAAATTTAGCAAAAATGGTGGAATTCCCCTTCAGTTGAGCAGGGAGTGGACTGTTTCCCACTCGACAGCCCACTCATACGGCATCTGGAGTAAGAGTTACGCATATCTGTGCAAATGTCACACCAAACTGAATGACTTTCTGTAGATCGTAACCATTTGATTATACAGAAATTTTGAAATTTGGTGGAATTCCCCTTTAACTGACTTTAAAAGACTTCACCATCAAAACGAAGGCCCTCACATCAAGCACAGCACATTTTTTGCATAAAATTTCACCACTTAAAAAAGGTTTTATCTTAACATCTGCGGTTTTCAGAAGCTGTCTTACTGTGGTGAGCTCATCCTACTTTAAAAAAAAAATAATGAGCTGATGTAAAATCATAAACGTACGCTGTTAAGAGATTCCCTAACACCTGGTAATATTTCATCTCTCATCTCTTGGTGATGACGGGCTAATCAGAGAACACACCTGACTCTGAGGGAGAAAGCTAATCCACATTAAGAGCACACCTGCGCCTCACGAGTTGGGCAGCCATACAGAGAGAAGACGTCATGAAGTGGCAAGTGTCCGGTCTAAGATGCTTAGGCTATCTGGGGGCAGGTGGCTTTGTTAAACACCAGGCCTATTTAAAGACATGAGTTTCTTGGCAGAAGAGACGTGAAACGTGATTCTTTTTTCCAATACGGGCCTCAACAATGATATGATCCATCGGTTAATAATGTTTACTCTAAATCAATGCGGCTATAAGCGCAAAGCTGGCAGGGTTATTTGAGGTGAGCGGACATATAAATGACTCGGTGCTAGGCGCCCCTCCCATAATAATTATTTACTTTACGTTGATAAACTCGCCTGATATTCGTATCAAAAGCACAGTAGATACACTGCTGATAAAACTGATATCACTAGAAAAATATGAAAAGAATGTCACTATCGTACCAGGCACAGAGTGAAATGTGCTAGTGCCCTTCAAGTCAGTGAAGTGGCACAAGCTGCCTTTCTGGCTAAGCAAGCTTTTATGCCTGTGTCTTAATAGCTTGACAATGACTGCTCTAGGCACAGGTACGACAATTGTCATGACAAAGTATAATCAAAGCACTACATCACCTTCTCACCATTTTATCAGACTTGTTGGTTGAGATCGGTGTTATCTAGAAGAGAAAATGTATGGCCTTGACAAGCACACTTGCGTAAAAATCCTTTCCGCCAGGTTTCGGTCACTAAGTAGGCACACACACATACATACACATGTAACACATATATGTATGTATATAAAGTGCATGTAATATATATTACATGTGTGTGTGTGTATATATATATATATATAAAAAGACATCTGTTTATCACCTGTTTCTTCTGAAATCAAAGATATTAAAAGGGAGTTTCCCCAGTTCCCCATTTTGCTGCAGTTACAGCCTCTACTCCTCTACTAGATGTAGGAACATTGCTGTGAGAATTTAACTGCATTCAACCACATGATGTTAGGTACCTCTTTAGCTGAAGCCTGGTCACCTCAGGCTCATGGTGAGTACATCTGAAGTGCCTGAGGTGCCAGAACGTAACTGCTGCGCTATTTAAGGTGGAATGGGGAAATTCGAAGCCACATGTTGTTGGGTACCCCTCTAGCTGAAGCCTGGCATTGGGCATGGTGACCTCAGGCTCATGTGTGGCTGCCCCAGAGCGTCCCGTTCTACTGGCAGTGCTTTTCTAAGCTGCGTAATAACAGGTGAACACCTGTGTCAGCAATGGATGCACCTTAAAGTAACTGAGTTCACCATTCAGAAGGGGAGTCTGATAATTTTGGATATTTAATTCAGGTATCTGACCCAGAAAAAAAAAAAATTGTTGGCCATATTGGAAACTATGGCTAAAGACATTTAACACTCATCCATGTCAACAGTTCACATCAAACTCCTCTGAACGACTTTCTTCACATCTTGACCATTTAATTATGTAGAAATTTTGAAAAAATTGTGGAATTCCCCTTTAACTGGGAAAAGAGTAGCCCTGGGTGAACTCACTGTTTCCCACTCTACAGCCCACTCGTACTGCATCTGCTGTATGAGTTATCTGTATTTATGCAAATATCACATCAAACCACACTCAATGACTTTCTATACATCTAAACCTTTTAATTACGCAGCAATTTTGAAATTTGGTGGAACTTCCCTTTAAGTGACTTTTGAAGACTTTACCATCAAAATGAACTGTTTTGGCAGCTATTGCCAAAGACAATTAATATTAACAGGTATTCATGACAACAGTTGCCAGTATCAGAAGATGGGAAATATCAAAATTAGCCCTGGTGTAGAGATGACAGCTCGGCAAACCAACGTCAGCTGAGCCTCCGCTTCAGCCAGGAAGAAAAAAAGCAACACCAAGACAAAGAAACCAGAATGTTTTTCAAGTCAAAGAACGGATTTTCATATTTTCATGGTACCTGAAATGGTCAGCAACCCGTGCTCTAAAGTTGAAACGGGTTTAATCGGTCTATCCATCATTTCTTACAGCGACAGAGAGCTGACATCCACTGTGAAGGCGATGCGTGCGGGTTTGTTTACAGTGCAGTTAGCTATAGCAAGTTAGCTTGTCCTCTATCCAGACCGAATATGGACAATGCCTAAAAACTGTTTTTTGTCAAAAAATTACATTTTCAGACGGTGACAAAGCACGAAAGGACTACGAGAGACATAGCCATCTGACTTACTGTCAACTAACAAGAAAAACATTGTAATCTTTGCTAACTTACAGACGATTCGCCAGCTTCGTTTTCGAATTTTCCCGTTCCACCTTAAATAGCGCAGCAGTTGCTGAGGTACCCGAGGCGCCAGAACGTATCTGCGGCGCTATTTAAGGTGGAACGGGGAAATTCGAACAAGAAGGTGGCCAATAGGAAACCAACTCGTGGAAAAGTGACAAAGTGGAATTTCTAAAGCACTATAGATGCGCGTTAGATGGTTTACGGTGTTGCTGTGGGCTCTGGCTAACCTAGCTGTGAACATAGCTTTCTAGCCGGGTTAACAGGACGGTAAAAACCAAAGCGGTAAGCTAGCTAAGCTAGCAACTTCAGCGAGAAAGGCCAGCGAGCTGATCCGTCTGTGAGTCAACTGAAAAGTAGCCTAGACCGACTCACTCCGCTACAACTGTCGGCGTGGGGGATTTTTCGCTATTTTAAAACATAATCTGAGCTGGCAAAGCGTTGACAAACATACTGCCTTAAATTAAGGAAGGTTTACCTTCACGGCTGAGAAGAAAAGGAGTCCTTTAAAGCTGTTTATCGCGGAGTAGCAGCTGTATCTCCTCATCCGCTCCCCTCTCCTCTCCGCTCGGACTGAGTGACTCGCCTGGACTCAACCAGCTGGATCTCTTGATGTCGTTGCATTCGGTGTGACGCCCCTCGCGTGAGAGCCGCTTGACCAATCACAGCGGCGAAGAGGACGGCATCATGGGATTTGTAGTCCAAACTGTTGTTTTTGTCGTTTACGTCCAGTTAAAAAATCTAGTAGTAATCGCCCTGCGTCACGAATTTTGTATCATCACGGAAAGACGAACACGTTTAACAATGCCACGCAAAGCCTGTTAGAAAAATTCATTTAGAAAGACTGACCTGAGCAGCGGCATTGACTGGCAGGTTTCTGGTTTCCCTGCCGCTTACAGTCTAGTGTGATTCTATACTGCCAACAGTGTTCAGGGTGTCCCACACTTTTCTTGCATACACATGCATTTGTATGGAAAACCCATTCATATCAAAAATCTAGCAACTTATTATTATTTTTTTATTATTAAGTGAAGTGCTATGCCAATATTTTGTGATACTAAACTTGCTAGAAAAACCAGTATAGACCAGCATGGCTCGTCACCAGCAAAACCAGCATATGTTGTGGTTTGCGTGCTGGTATGCTGGTCAGCATCAATGGAAGTTTAGATTCTGATCACCTTCAAAACCAGCATATGTTTTGATGCTGGTATGCTGGTCAACTAGCATGACCATGCTGGGGTGAATAGCTAAACCAGCACCAGAGCTGTATAGACCAGCATAGACCAGTGGAAGCAGGGAATCATTAATTTGAGACACTATGTTATTATTTTGAGATGCTATGTCATTAGTTTTGAGATACTAATTCATCATGTTGAAATACTTTCTCATTGTTTCATTGTTTTAAGATACTAAGTCATTATTTTGAGATGGTTTATGCGTACATATATATATATATATATATACACACACACACACACACACACACAATTAGAGACTGACATATGTAAATGACTTCTGTTCTCATTGTCTTCCCTCTTCCCTCAAAACACGCTTTATAACTTCATTGTCAATGGGTGGGCTAAACTGCTGTAGGTTAAATGGACAGATATACATAAATTTGCCTGTTTTTTCCTAACATCACAAAACCAGTGATTTCAAAACGAACTGTTTTTGTGGCCTAGTTTTCATATATGGACTAAGAGCCTTTTAATTCGTATTATTATTACTGAGACACAGCAAAAGTTACCGGAATATTCTCAGTTCAGATTTGGGCACTTTATAAACAACGTGCAGTTGTCTATTTGTCATGCTACACATCTAAAATAAACTGCTGACAATGGTGAGGCAACAGGACTGAAACCAACTAGGTCCAGGTAACAAAGAACAGGGCGTGAACAGTGAACAGTTGAGGCCGTTTACATCATGAATTTGAAATATGTGTAGGGTAGGGCGAGGTTTCTTGGAGCGTGAAAGCTGTTTGATGGCATTTTTTCTTTCTGGCACATCTATCCACAACATTATGCAATGTTTCTCTACCATGGCCACTCCCAGCATTCTTAAACCATGCTGTGCTTCAACACTTTTTAAATGCATTTAAATGAAAACAGTATAAATGCTCAGAAAACATCCTAAACAGGTGATGTAATCATGCTTGGGTGTAGTGTTCACCAACAAACGCTGGGTACAAATGCAAGTTAAGACTGTATTATGCACAGTAGAAGTCATATGTCAACAATATCCAGAAACGCCGCCGACTTCTCTGGGCTTGAGCTCCCGTGAAATGGACTGATGCCCAGTGGAAACATGTATGGTGGTCTGATGAATCAACCTTTCAGATTATTTGTGGATATAATGGACATCATGTTCTCCAGGTTAAAGAGGAAAAGAAGAGAAAAAAACATCCAGAATGTTACCAGTGTAAAGGTCAAAAGTCAGGGACTGGTGTGGGGGTCTGTTAGTGCCCATGGCATGGGTAACTTCTGTGAAGGCACCAGTAAGGGTGAAAGATATATTAGACACACTAAGCCACATTCTGTTCCAACTGTTTTAGAACAATCAGTGTCAATGTAGGCATCAAATTGGGAATGAGCCTACATTTACACAAAAACATTTCATGATGGAAAACATTTCTTTTTTCCTTTACTGTATTTTGTACTGTTTTTTTTTCAGTTTATTTTTTTTAAACTTCTTTGGAATTGGGGTTTGTAATATTGATCCTTTCAGGTATTTTCTGCTCAGGTGTATTTATTGATTAATGTCTTTTAAAAGGTTATGAAATGACCAAAATACATTTTTGATAACAAATCTTCATTAAAAAAGATATTTTTCCTTTGTGAACTGTTCATCCTATTCACTTTCGTCATTTTCATTATGGGCTTACTTAGCTGCTCAGGCAAGCTAAGCAAAAATGTATAATCAAGATGAGATGAATATAGATTTGTCCTGCTGACTCAATCGAAATAAACACAAGACACAATGTTCTTCAGAGACAGAGTAGAGCAATGGTGCATAGGAGAAAGTACATGAGAAATATACTGGTAGTTACAAAGGCAAGCTTGGTCCAGTGCACGCCGATTGAGAACTCAGGAACCATCTGTGAAAGTATTGTTTTTGCTTTATGTGTGTGAAGCTGTGGGAGGACACAAATCTTCTGTAATTGTGTGATGCATGTAGCAACATGAATGAATAACACTGAACTCTTTGCTTGTGTCAGGGAGACTCAGTATAGACTCATTTAGAGCCTGTCTCAGAATTAATTATAGCAAAAGTGACTTTATATGGCACATACGTAATCATCACTATGAATATTTTTTAATATTACTGGTTCGAATGATGGGGAAAAATACATATACACAACAAGCATATGGTCATAGGGCAGCAAACAATTTGGATTAACATGTAAAGTCATGAACATTGTAATCACGTTGAAGTGTAATTTGCATACATGGACTGTTATTTACAAGTTTAGCATCCTTTCTCACAATTCATTGATCGACAAAGGTCGTTTCTAAGATCTTTGGCCTGACAACGGGCGAGAACAGAGCCCATTCCCTCCAGTGGCAAGTTAATATCGCCTCTGCTAAAATAGAACTCAACAGTAGAAGCCTCTGTATCAAAAAATAATATTCAGAACAATACATATGATGTATAACATGAGAAGCAATTAATAAAATATAATCTGAACCACTATTGTTTGACTACAATAGTATTTTGCAGTCCTTATCATATAGCCTCATCTTTTTTTTTTTTCCTCTTACAAGACTCACATTCATTTCTGCGGAGCTCAGTGTGCTGAGGCGCCGCAGTTATCTGTGAAAAGCAACATGACATTCATTGGACATCAGCCCAGGACAAGATGGGATTCCTTGAGACGATGCGAGGAAGACCCTGAAACACATAGAGAGCTCATACCAGCTAATAGGCAGCCAAGCTAAAAGCTTTTTTATATTAAGCCTAGAAGCCTGGTGGCTATTTTAAATCATTAGGAGTAGACAAGATGCTTCTGCGAGTAGAGTTGCTTTGGAGGACAGAGTGCTGAGTATCCTCTGGCAGGATTATTTCTTCCTGATCTTGGTAGATGGGCCATTGTTAAGATCTCCATGGCTCTGGTTGGCAGCGCTTCGGACCTCGAGAGGCGCAGCAACACAGATTCCACAGGTCAACATGACATCATCAGACATCCCATAGTTCCAAATTCCACCATACTCATACGAGGTCACTGTCCGCCGCGAGGATTTTAAGAGCTCTAATGCAGGAGAGGTGGATTGAGTCTGTGGGAGGGGATCAGGCAGGGCAGCACGCGCTGTTTAAGCAATGAGTTCAAAAGGTCATCTCCTGTTTCTCAAGAGAAGAATCACCAAGAGCAAGAGTCACGGATCACGCCAAGCCCGCGTTTCAAACTGATTACCTGATCAGCTGAGCTCATGTGAGATGCTGACGAGGGAAAGAGGACAAAGCAACACATCTGCAACGCTCTTTTGACTCCTTCTCCAGAAGTTCGGCTTCTTTCTGTTCTCGAGTGAACTTCATTAAATTACCATTCACCACACGTGTATACTTAATTATATACTTAAATTTTTCTTTATATTTATTATCATTGTCTTTATACATCTTACTCAGTCCTTTTCTTCTGAGCCCAAGAAAGTCCTGCCCCTCCCCCCCCAACTCCTTTAGTTTAGTGCATCCCTACGGCCCAGGGGGACCTCTGGGGCTACTTGCAGACAAACTGGTCGACCAGTGACGTGCAGCGCTTGCACTTGACGTAGCAGCACCAGTGGAACTTGCAGTGGCAGCGCTCGTGCTTGTAGGTCTTGAACTGGTCATAGCCGCGGCCGCAGCACATCAGCTCGCAGCCGTCCATGCCCTCCGAGGTTTTGTTGCAGAGGCGGCCCTGAGTGCCCAGCGAGCCCGTGCTCTCGTTGCGCAGGCAATAGTCCGGGCTCTGGTCGATGTACGCCAGGTCCTCGGCCGTGGGCGGGTTGAAGCGGTTGTTGACCAGCTCCAGTTTGCCACGCCGGCTGATGCGCATGGCGGCGGCGCTGTCGTACTTCTCCTTGAGGAACTCGCCCACGCGCCGGAAGTCGGCCAGCTGCAGCCAGCATGTCTTCAGGCTGCAGGAGCCCGACACGCCGTGGCACTTGCACGCCACGTTGGCCAGGTTATACACTGCCTGGGGAAACACATGGAAAACATGGAGATTTGCTGTTAGACAGTGGAGAGTTTCATTTTAAGGACTCATATTCTATATCTGCATTTTTTGCTGCATTTATAGGTCCATTTATAAACAGTCATCATTCATTTTTACATGACATTTTCAAACTTCTCGCTCCCCCTTAAAGTTCGTCAGGCTGCCATGTACTGTGCCCCGGTCTAAAAAGCTCTATACACTGAAAAACAGGGTTCATGATTGAAATGTGTCAAGTGTTTAACAGTTGAACAGAGACAAGACAGAAGTCGTAACAGTTGGACTTATTACTTTACTACCAACAACTACTTATTTAAAATCTCTTCCAATAACAAAACTCTGGGGTCCGTCTAGGCACAAAATTTTGAACCTCATACAAATCATTTTACAAAAACAGCCTTTTATCACCTAAGAGCCATGTGTCAAACACAAGGCCCACGGGCCAAGTCAGGCCCGTGACACAGTCCGTGAAAGTATTTTAATTTTCTATTATCATTAGCCTGTTTCACTCTGAGATGCACTACAGTCCCCACCACGCACTGCAACATAGTGCACATTCTGACCCCCTTCCCCTGACAATAATCTATGGGCCCGCAGTTACACAAGAAGAACAAAATCAGAATTATATTTGAATAAGTACTCAATGCCTATTTTGCCCCTGACCTAAAACATATTGCGAAGGTCCAACTACTTCTATCCAATAGTGATACGGAACACACGCTTTAATTATCACCAGGCTTGGTCACTGTAACTCCCTCTCTTCTGGAGCTCCAAAAAAACTCTCAAAATCTACCAGAACGCTGCAGCACGTTTGTTGACGAGGTCCAAGAAAAGAGATCATATCAGTCCAAAGTCTACACTGATCACCTGTCACATTAGGATTGATTCTGAAATCATTCTGTTTGTTTTTAAATCACTAAATGGCCATAGACCATCCTATATTTCTGACATGCTTAAAAGATACTCACTGACTAGAGCTCTTAGGTCTGTGAGTGTTGGCTGTTATGCATTCAAAGACTTAGAACCAAGTCATATGGACAAGCTTCATTCCGTTTTTTGTGCTCCCCAAGTGTGGAACAGCTTGCCTGTGGCACTGAGGGCATCCTAAACTGTGGATGCTTGACGTGTGATCTTGAAACTTGTCTTTTTAGTCTTTTTCTGGGGTTTTAATTCATCATATTTATTTTGTTTATTTATATCTATTTTTTATGTATCTTTATTTTTTATCTTTATTTTATTATTGTTGTTATCTTTCTTTTACACAATTATTTTTATTACCTTAATATCTTGCCAAACCTGATTATCACTTTGTCCTGTGCTATCTGTAAGCCGCTGTATGAAACAACCACGTCTATTAAGAAATGTATTTTTCTTAATAGCTCTGTTTTTCATTTCTGAACTGTTTTACTCAATTACTTGGTAAAGAATTCTGAATTACAAGCACTGTATCAAGGGTGCTATAAAAACAAAATTTTACATTTGAAGTTTGAAGTGACTGCATGCAAATAAAATACATTATTTGCATTAATTATTAACACAATTCAACTTTCTTCAACTAATTTGCAATCACAAGATACATTTGGATCACATGAATTCAAAGTGCCATATTTTTTCACCTCAGCGTGACTGTGCAGACTAAACTGTTGTAATCTGAATGGGTGGTCATATGTAAATGTGTCTGTGGTTGTGACTGTTTTTGCAGCTGGACTCCACAGACCGAGGAGTGAACTGTACAAAATCCTGAAACCTTAATATTTACATATTATTTAAAAAGAAACATTTTCTGTAATATGGGCCATTTATGACTCCACATACAAAACCAGTATCAGAATCAGCCAAATACAGGAGTACAGTTATTTACCTGGACATAAGTGTTCGTTTGCTTGGAAAAATATCAGCATTAGGAAAATACATACATATATGTATATATATGTATATATATACGTGTGTGTGTGTGGAAAACAATACACATACACAAGTCTTTTTTTTCCTAATGCTGATATTTTTCCAAGCAAATATACACACATCGATCAGCCAAAACACTATGACCACCTCCTTTTTTCTACATTGTCCATTTTATCAGCTCCACTCTGTAATGCTACAATTACAGACTGTAGTCCATCGGTTTCTTTAGTGGTCAGGACCCCCACAAGACCACCATAGAGCAGGTATTATTTGGGAGGTGGGAGCACTGTAGTGTCACTGACGTGGTGGTGACGTGTTAGTGCATGTTGCACTGGTGCGAGTGGATCAGTCAGTTTCACTGCAGTGCTGAGAAATATCCACCACTCAAATAATACTTGCTCTGTGGTGGTCCTGTGGGGGTCCTGACCATTGAAGAACAGGGTGAAAGGGGGCTAACAGAGTAAACAGAGAAATAGATGGACTACAGTCTGTAACTGTATATATATATTTACTTTACATTAAACTTTACAGGAGAAGGAAAAAACAGACTTTACTTTAGATGTAAGTTTTTCCGAGTAATTTTAATGTGTGTGTGTGTGTGTATAAACATCTTGTGACAGAGTTGCTTTTGACACCTTCTGCACCCAAGAGGAACAGAAACCAGCAAAAAAGCGTGTCAGGGACCAAAATTTGCTTTTGTGTGACGACACTGCCCTCTAGAGGCCAACGTGGCTCACTACACCGGACCTGTATGTAGCAGGGCAGTTTTGAACCTGGTAGAGCTTCCAGGGGCCTTTGGAGTTTACAGACCCTTAACAAACAGAGAGTGGCAATGAGAGCATTTGGAGAACAATGGGATCAATAGTCATTCTGTTCTAGAACACACAGAGAGCCCCACGTGCGCCGAGAGTGAACTTCCTGTCGATTATATTCACAGAAACTCCAGCTGAATCAATAGAGGCATTTAAAGCATTGGTACCCTTACCTAATGCATATGCTGTGTATTTTTATTATTCTACCGGTACTAATCAACAACAAAAGGAACCGCCTGAATCAAAGACCTGCTTTTAAAGCTAACTTTGATATGGTGAAGTGTAATGAGGCGCAGAACACGTTTTTTGACTTATAAATCTTGCTCACATGCTACGAGTCAGACAGAATATTGGAGCAGAAAACATCAATCGAACGCACACCTGTCGAACAAAAGTTTCAGCTGTTTTCCATACATGTAGCGCCTCCGTACAGAACACGTGCTTAACTCTAACTGAAATAGGACACGCTCTTTTCTATGTATGTTCTCCATCAGGTCCTTGAGGAAGTTGATAACGTGTTTTTTTTTCATTCACTGTGTCTTTGTGACTTTGCAGTCTCCTGAACATTGGAATATCAAAGGGATCTCTTTCCCTCTCTCTGTCTTTCAATCATTTGCAGTCTCTTTCTTCACCAGGGCCCCTGGCCTCACACCTCCCTTTAACACCTCATGCGAGACGGTGGTTTAACAGGCGCCTTTTACAGAGGTGCTGCAGCCCCCACCCCCACACACCCCCTCACCCCCCGCCCCGACTGACAGCTGCCGATGTCCCTTACCTGCTTGTAGAAAGAGAGTGAAGACTGAGTTTGAACACTTTGTAATACATTCTCTGTCAAAACACCGCCTTACCTGCATACCAGCCCGGCCACCTGCCAGAGACACGCACACATACGAGTACCTACTCACACTCAGCACATACATCCAACACCTCGAATACCTTCCATCGAAAACGATACTAAACCAAAACAATGCGCTTTCTCAGTTCATTCTCTTTCTTTCTGACTCTTCCTTGCTTTTTCCTCACCCCTCCCCTCATGGTGTGACAGACAGTCAGGCTCACTGGTGCAGAGAAAGGACACGGTCTTGGGCACTGGCACAATGAAGCATGCTCAGACAGGGCTGGGGCCGGCTGGGGTGGGGGACCGGCAGGGGTAAACAAACGGCCCTAAAGGTGCGCAGATAAGAGGAGCCCGGGAAAGTGGAGCTCAAATAAACAAACCCCAGTCTTTCTCTCCTGCGACCAGGTCTCGCAATCCCTCACATTTTTTTGGTAGTTTAAGTTCCATCTTAGTACCATGTTGTATCAAAACCTTATTTTCTTTAAACGATTTGATCTGTTCTTTACTTTGTATGGACATTTCACAATGAATGGACTAATAGAAATGGGAACGCTTTCTTTTACAGTCTTCTAAGTACTGACCAAGTAATTGTGAGGTACAAACTCCAAAGCACTACACAGTTATTCTGTCAACAGGATGGAAATTTCTGATCCAGTTGATCTAAATTAAACTGAAATGTCCATCAGGTTCTAGATATCAACTGAGCAAGTGTGAGGTACAATCTCCAAACTGCTGCGGAATTATTTTGGATGAAATCAGGATAAGTACCAAGATAGTCTACCTAATTTACAGTAACAGGTTCTAGCTATTAAGCTGATAAAGGACAGAGTTAAATGTCTTATATTTGGAGTAACAAGGTGGTAAATACACTAAATATCAAAGTAATGTCACACATTTGAGCAGGAACATAAATCAGAAACAACCCCAAGTACCGGGTAAATTATATGACATAAAATGACGGCATTAAATACAAAGATAATGTTGAATGAATTAAGTGTAGCAAGTGAAATAACCCACATTAATAATTATTGCTTTATTTTATACCCAAAATTGATTTAATTTATAGGTAATAAAAAGATTTATACTACGTAAAACTACTTTATTCATACACTTTTATGTCTTGTAACTTTCCAGTACCTGATACTTTTTACCCAAAATTATTGCACAGTACTTACCCAGTTAATAGGTAGAACCTGTTGGGCATTTCAGTGTAATTTAGCTAGACTGTTTAAAAAATAATAACAGAGTAATAGCTGGAGTTTGTGCCTCACACTTACCTGGTTAACAGCTACAACTACAATAAGAAAGTGTTACCAAACGTATGTAATAACATGTCATTACGGTAACGTCTGTCCTGTTACTGTTTCAGAGATATGAGGTTGTGTTACAACAGTGATCAGGGCTGGTTCTAGCTATAAGCAGTATAAGCA